GATATATTAATTGTCATTAATAATTTAACCCTTGACAATGCCGGTTTCACGCATCGATGTCGAGCAAACGAAAAGTTCACTGTCAGTTCCTAGAATCCACGCCGTCCAAACGAAAAGTCTACTGTCAGTCCCCGGGGACAACTGCTACATCCACACTGGACTTTCGACGCCGAGCTACTTGCTGCACCTAGTATGTATTTCCAACTTTTACAGGATCTTACGAAGGATCTTCCAAAGGGTCTTCCGAAGGATCTTCCGACACGTGGACCTTAAAGGTAACCTTCTCACGCGCTTAATCCTGTGGACGTAAAACTTTCGCGGGAAAGCAGAAATGGAGGTAACAGGTAATATATCCGCGTTACACGCGCCATTGCCGCGTGTGCATACACAGGCAAACACAGTGAGCGACGCATCGGTGGATTCTATTGTTATAATACGTGCATTACGCGCATTACATTACGCATATGACCACGAGTACGTGATGTGGGTTATGGTGATTCTTGTGGCCGTTTCGCAGCGCTCATTACCAAATTACGAGTAATTCCATCCACTTTGCCGTACAGAAACATTATTCGCGTTCCCCTGCGTCTATTCAAGACAAACACCGACCCATTACGCCCCCGATTCTAAATCGTTTTCGATAAGCGCGTCAGCGACCCGCGACAACCTCGTCGGCCCTTCTCCCCCCTCGGTTTTCGTTCGGTTGCGCGAAGGTAACGTTACCTTAATGTTTAAATAGCTCGTATCCATAGCTCGCGCGATGCATGCTCCGAGTTATATTCCCTGGCGATAAATGCGACGTACGCCGCGGCTCCGGATCCTCTTTGTTCCCGTTGCATTATGCGCGTATATGAATTGTAAATAATAACACGCTCCTCACCGTGATCCTCCATCCCCTTTCGTTCCACCGTGTCTGAAATCCGAGATAACGCTTATTGCGTGCCGCTCGTTGGATCTCGTTCGGTCACCCTGCCAACGGCATTGTGCTTCAAAGTTCTGCGGCCTCTTGCCGAATCGCGCGCCTCTCGTTTAATTAGCAACGGTATCGCGCGAAGCAGAATTCCGCGGTCAATATAAATTCCGAAAATTTCTACCAAGACGTAGCAGAGCTCTCCGCTAATCTTCCAGCCTCTTCGCGCAACCCGTAGACGTTTATCTTTACGCTCTGCTACCCCGACGATCGATCATGGTCGACCGAGGCTCGAACCAACGGCAATAACCGATATCTAACGCCCTCCATTCACGGCACGGATCAATGCCACGGAACCGATGAAAAGCAACCTCGTTGCAATGCCCGAGCCTGTTGCGAGATACTCCGAAACACTGCATGGGGTAAAATTATCGGATCCCGGGACGCCTTGTCGCTTTATCGCGAAATTCGGAATTACGTCGAACTTTAAAATTCTCCTCAGAGTCTGCAACGCAGCGAGGGATTATTCAAGATTACAATTTCACTACGGCATGGAGAATTTTAGCGGAACGCGTCGCGATTATATTCCAAGTTCGGAAACGAGCGACGTTGACGCGGAATTGGAAGCGACGGGATTCGAGATCATTACGGGACAGCCTGTAACAGTGCTCCAAAGCTGCAAATTGCTGGAGGGAAGCCAATGATGCGTCGTGCATAAAATTTCACTCGCGTGACCGAACGACGCGGGGCTAAAAACCCCGTCGACAATGCTGTAAGACTGACAACCGATATACAGTGGTTCCAGGAACAGAGGTTCGATGACTTATGCTGGCAACGTATTCGATAGTCGCGAGGGATTTCCATAACACGAGCCAGCTCGCCTGACATCGCGTCACAGCGACGACTCTAGGGTCAGCGAATGCGATACCTCTGGAAATCCATTTGCAAGGTCGACCGAAGCTTTTTGCACGGCTTTATCGGGGCGCGCATGAACGCTCGTTCCCTGCAAACGACGCAGCGTACACTCGTGTCAGGACACTCGTGACAACCTCCGGCTCTTCGTGCACGATACGTGTCGGCAGTAACGAGCGCGTTACTCGCACGCGTGCCTACGTGTCACCGACTCGCGTGAAATTTCTTCCAAACGTGCCTGCCCCCGCACTAATTGTCCCCGTCCTAACGACGAAACCTAATCTTTCCAGGCGACCTCGTTCCTCTTAGAAAACCGCCGGTAACCCTAATTAAACAGGACTCCAGCGATACTCGATCTTCGCTGGCTGTTCGGTGACGACTGTGCGAAATTTTGAGAAAGCTCTAAAATCCGAATACGAAAGAATTGGTCGTACTTTAATGTACTCAAGGTGGGTGAAACCTTTCCGCCATTTTTTCCCCGAAAGTCGGGTACCGGATAGTGTGTTACTACGTAGGAGTACCGGAGGACAGGGCAACGTGCAAAGAATACGATTTGTCTAGGAAATTCGTGGCGTCGCGTGGTGCATGCAAAGTGGCTCGTAGCATGCGAAACGACGTATGCATCGCGTACGCTCTCGCGTAAGTCCTCGAGTTCCAGCTCTAGTGCGATTTTAAATTCGATCGGTAACATTAATCTGCTCGTTAAGAATCCACGGCTACGTGGAAGGTTGCCGCGAGCACACGCGGCTGGGATATCGAACGTGTTTATTCCCGGGATAAAAGCGCGTGAATGTCGTGTAGACATTAAATCGGGGTCGTAAACGCGAGAGCGGCAGGAACAGTGGGCGTCTGACCGAGGCGCGAGTCGCGCTACTGACGCCTTCCGCGCCGTTCGAGGGCCATCAAATTGGTGGAAAAATAACGCAACGGCGCGCACGGAGCGGCAATTTAGGTGGCAAACTTTATGCAACTGGACGCGTGCTGAATACCGTCGGTAATTGAATCTAATTCTTATTCCTAGAACGCGTGTCCCGTAAAACCGTGGCCCTCGTGCAACCGTAAACTCCGTTGTACTTACTTCCGCTTTCTCTACCATTCGCCACTCCTGTTGCTTTCCTATTCGTCGTTACGTTCTCGCAACTCGTGATCCTTTCTCGTTTCGAAAGAAACGAGACCGGTGAGGTTGCCATAGTCGGCTAACAATTGTCCCACCAAGAGGATCGGCAAACCTACGCGTTTCGAGCCTGGAATTTCTTTCAGTCGAACGTCGTCGTTGCACTTCCTGTCCGGAACCGGTCGATTCGTCAGCACGGTTATTAGCTAATTTATTAATTCGTTTCTTCGTTCCGGTCGAGCCAGAGGTCGCGATCCCTGGGCCCCGGCGAAGAAGCCAGTGGACGGACACCCACGGGGCAATTAAAATGACAATTCTCATTGATGGGTTAATCGACGTGTTGTTTCGGAAAGTCGATTGTCCCGGACGCATAGTCCGGGATCGTTCATCATAAACGGCTGACGTTCCACGTCGCTGGATTCCCGTGTTTAGACCGGTCTCCATTCGAGAGAACCTCGTGTCCTTCTGCTAACACGACCCTCGACGCGACGATATTCCTCCCCAGGGATGCTTGTTTTACGAGCCTCGCGTGTTTTACGTTACACGCTGCATAATGCGAGCGTTCACTCGTACTCCAGATTTCCCGGAGAGTCTATTAACGTCGAAAGATCGTCCGCCGGGAAACTTAATTTTTATCGATCCCTACGTATCAGGGATTTGCAAAATTGCCAGAGCAGGTGGAGAAATCCTACCCCGGATGACAAACATAGAACCAAATACGGTATATTCGCAACGACTGAATAAATAATCCAGATGGAATATTAAATAGCGTTAATATTAACAGGAATATTATATAACGGTATATTTCTTAATATTTTATCCACGATTCCATATCGAACGAGTCCAGAGAGGACTTGGACAACTTTCTGTTAAACAATTTATGCCGTTCCACGTGTTTGCCATCAATCTACCTTCCAATTCACTGGAATCTCTCCGACCGCCGCGAGGCTGTCCTTTACCCGGGTTCCTTTGACCGTGCAATCTGTATCTGCAGGGCAGAAGCATCCCCGGGGCGATCGTAACGACAGATCGAGCAGTGGACCAACGGATGGACACGGTGGACAAAGCAGAAGGGGATGGATCTGTGACGGAAGCGAAAGGAGCGATCGCAGAGACGGAAGATCCGAGATCCGGTTCCTCATTTTCCAACCTCGTCCTTTCGATCCCTGCATTTTCTAATTTATCTCTCCGAGCTCATCGTCGGGCCTCGCGAAAGGTCCCTGGAATCCGTACCCTGACCGAATGCCCGTTTTAGAATCACGCAGGAGAGGGACAGACAGAGAGAGGGGAGGAATGATTAATTTTCCCGGACGCAGAAAATTAGTCGCGATATTAGAAGTTGGGAAGAATCGCGACGAGGTAATGGAGGCTCGTTGAACGGCGTTGGAACTTGCCCGGAGCCGGTGTGGAAGTTTGTCGAGGGGCGCGAGACAGAAAGAAGGCAGGACAGAGGATGGGAAAGAAAATTAAACAAGAAAACCGGCGGCGGTGAAGATCAAGGGAAGAGGGAAGATGGACGTTTGGCTCGATGAGCGTGCAGTTCGCGCGGCGGCTCGGGGTTAATTGCAAAATTAACCTTAATTATTGGCCCTCCTGGACATTTCCATTCTACTCTCGCCTGGTGCTAGCCGACGTTAACGCTGCAGGTTAGTTACCGACGCCTGTTCCCCGAAAGATTTAATCTTTTTTGGCGGCAGTCGAGTTACGTAACGCCGAAAAGCTTTTTCCCCGACCCTCTGCCCGATTTCTCACGCGCTCGCGCGATCTCGTTACGCTTTTCTTTCTACGCGTGCCCCCGGTGCTTTATGCCCGTGGTACCTGATCTCTCGAGGTTCGGAATTTCCGCGACGATCTCTCGGAAAATTCCGCGAGATTTTTCTATCCCTGCGCCGGGTGCTCGGGGTTGTGGGAAAGTAAAATCTCGCCGGGAACCGTCGAATCGATTTATTGTTCCATATTTATACACACAATAAGCGATACGATTATATCGTATTAGGTACTAGATCGTGTTATATATATTTATATATATATATATTCATTCATTTATTTATATATCGAGCATTCTGTACAATAAATAAAGACTCTAGAGCATTTTAAACATAACACGGCGTACTCCCTTGCGATTGCCATCGAAAAGTGTACAATAATTTAACGAGACCCCCGTGCGTATATCCCATCGTCCCGTCTCGAGGAGCCCGTCACGAGCGTCGCGACGAGTCCAGGATATATGTACAACGCACGGGGTTTCAACTTTGAACTTTTTCAAACAAATCGTAACAATGTCCCCCCGCTCGATCAGCCGCGATCGATCGCGATCTCGCGGGAAGCTGCGACATCTTTGCCTTTCGTCAACGCATTTAAACAACTCGCTCGAACGCATTCGTTTGTTACTTTCGCAAATACTCGGAGAGAAAAGATGCGACGCACGGAGAACATGGTCACGCTAGCTGTGCGGATGTGCGAGTCGACGGAGTGTCGCTAATGATCGTCTGTTCCAGCCATTCCCTTTGCATCCGGAGCTGGCGAATCGCGGACGATTCCGCTCACAATTAGCGCGTTATGCGTGTCCGTATCGAAATGGAAGCGCGTAGAAAAGGTAAAAGACAAGCATCGAATTTTGTACGTTCGGATGTTCGTATAAAAAGGCATACGAAGACGCAAAACTGGCAGAATTCAAAGATCCTTTATAAAAAAGAATTCGCCTGAACGAACCTCGATTAAGTATAAAAAGATACACGGTGTGTGCGTGTGTGTGTGTGTGTGTGTTTGCGTGTGCCCGGTGGTACGTGTGTATACGTGTATGCGTGTGTGTTTAGAGTACGGTCTCGAATGAACGTCACGAATGAAAAGCGATCACGATCGGGTGGAGAGGACGCGGAGGTTCGAGCGAACCTTGGGTCAGCCAGCGTGCGACCTTCCACCCTCCGCGACACCGATAATATCTCTAACGATAAGGTTCGACTATTTATACAATCCTACAACGTACACACTGCAGCCTCTTCGACGCGGAATAGAATCGTTCCCGATAATCGAATCCGCTTTAATCGCGACTTACTCTTCGCGACGAAGATTCCTTTATCCTAGAACGGAGCTCGAGATAGAAGAAAGACGCGCGGGAGAAATCGTGACACGATCCTCTGGCCATTCCAGTTTCGTCTTAACCCCCGTCGACGAGAGTCTCGTCTTCCGCTCGCGCGTTATTTCCCGTCCGATCGTGTCACGACGAGACCTGCTTCAACTTCGTTACACCTTCCCGCTGCGGAACGAAGAGGAACGACGCGCGAGAGTCGCTCGTGCCTCCTTTACATTCCGCTCGCGTACGAGCGGACGAATCTACACGCTCGATTTTCGTCGAAGCGATCGCCTCGATATTTCGATATAGTACTATTGTCTTCTTAAATCCACGAACCGATACATACAACATGCATTTCTATCTAACGTGACTAATGTTCGCGGGAACGCTCGTTCGCCATTTCGTACGAGGATCGTCTTTGCTGGAGCGCCGAGGTTTCTGCCCTTTCAGTCCTCTGCCGTCGTCTCCAAGAAGGTTCAAAAATTCCGATTCTCTTTTTACTCCCCATCGAGGATCATCTCGTTTGATATGTCTTGCCGAGGAACGAGAAACCCGAGGACGCGAGCGAAACGATCGAAAACGAAAAGGGAAGCCCCTCGGAGGCGTCTCGTCTCGTCCAGCGACGTTTAAAGTCGGATAAATCGCGGGAAGGAAATAGCCTCGTGAATTGGCAAATTTTCGGTGACGGCGAGGAAGGTGGAGGATCGAAAGAGCGAACGGCGCGGAGAACTGGAACGCTCGGCTCCTCGATTCGCGCGATCGTCGTACCCGTCGTGAATACGCTGGACACGAGCTCGGAGTCCGCGTTGGTTTAATGGAGATGACACGAGGGATCGGCAGCTCGTTCGAGGAACAAAGTCCCGCGATAATAAGCACAGGAAGAAGAACCTGGACGACGCGGAGAAACGCGAAACGATACGTCGTCCAGAGGAATGGTTCCCTTGGTACCTTGGCATTGTGCCGAGAGGAGAACGACACGACGACCCCGGTTTCGCGTGGTCGAGTCACCAGGCCAACGATAAATTCGAGTTTTTCGTTCGTCCATCGTGATCGGACAGACGCGAGACGGCGAGATTCTCGTTACGATTGCGCCAGGAGGCGGGGATCCGTGCAGCGGACACGAGACGCGAGATCGTTAGCTGCGTTGGCAATTAAGCTGCCTTTCTCTCGCGATCAAAAGAGGAGCCGAGGAGGCTCTCGCTATCGGCCACGTTGTTAAATCGACCGTCCTCCTCTCGATAGCAACAGAAATTGCCTCGTCCGTTCCGAGGGCGAGGAGCGGGATTTATTTCGCGAGCAATCTCGGGACGGTTGAAATCGTTCGTGTCTTCGTCTCGGAGGACCTCGATCTGCGATATCGACGGAAAGAACGACGGTTAGGGATGATCGCGTACCGATGCCAAGCAGCTAACGATGCACCGCGAAAATTCGATCGTATCTCCCGTTCGCCGATTACCACTACCAGGAACCGGAGACCACGGTGGACAGGACGCCTATCAGAGCCAGCCAGCCGATCTGGTCCAACGATCCTCTTCTCCAGGCAGCGTTGTTCATGCAGGTCTCGCGAATTCTGTTGATCTTCAAGCTACGGCGGGTCAGCAGATTGTGCACGCCCTGTTTGTCGCTCTTCTGCAAGATGTGCTCCCGCGCGAGCAACCACGAGTACAGCTGATTGTCCGGACTACGAGAGCAGAAAGTCAGCACCATGTCAGAGGCCACGGCTTTCATCACGTACACGTTCCCGGTGAACTGTTTGTACTGCATCTCCACCAGAGTACCTGTAAAAATCGCCAACGATCAGCGTCTTGCGATCTTCCACAGGTGTACACGCGTACGCGGAAATATAACGTAGGAATTTTCTTTTCGCCGACTTTTTCTGATCGAATAACTCTGTAGCGACCATCATTCTCGTCCTCGTTACTAGATAAATTCAGACTTCCAGGACTTTTCGGCAAGTCCTACACCGAGGATACCTGCGACAGAGCCGACATCAACAACCGTGGGATAGGACCCCCTACGACTCTATCTTTTCCTGACGACTACTTCTTTCTGTCTTCCAGAACGGACATCTTTAGAGCTCGTCTAGAGGGCAAGCATTTCCCCGAAGGAGGAGAAACTCCCTCCACGTGAAGGTGAAGGGTAGAGGAGACTTTCCTCCGAGTTAGTCCCTCCGAAGGGTCACCCTCGCGGGGAGCCTACAGGAACACTTCGATCATCGCACCGCAATAAACTCTAAAAATATCCTACAATAATAGGGATAAAATTGACGCGATCACATTGGAAATTTCCGTCGTGTTTTTCGCGTACCCCACACAGTCGTGACGTCGCAACGTTTCAGATGAAGGGAACGGAAGCTTGGAAACGGACGTGGAGTCGCGGAACGCGCGGTCTCCCGCGATTCAAGGGGAATCAGCAGCGGAAATCAGTGAATCGGTCTGATTATTGTCTACGACTGGAATGCCAGCATGCTCCCGTTGGAAATCTGTCACATCACGCGCCATTATGTCGTTGACGATGTACTTACGCTACTGATTAGGAATACGCGGAGACGGAATTATGGGATTGTCACGCGTGCTTTACGTGCCGCCATTGTCATCGATTTCTCGCGCGTACGGAAACTCTCGTGCCCCCTTTCGGTTCACCGGTTTTTCCCATTTAATTGCAATTATCGTCAGGACTTTTTCGCACTTTCGAAAGGACGATTGCCGTTGTGCGTTTCGCCGATGAAACGGCGCGTGTTGTTACGCGCGTCGCGGAATGATTGTCACGCGTCTGGTACGTGCCAATCGCGATAACGTCAACAGCTAACGCTATATCGTATTATTACAGCTTCAGCCATTAAGCTGTTTCGCCGTGTAAACGGTCACTAGCCCCGGGATATTGACGTTTAATCGTATGAAATTAATTGTAGCAGCTGTTCGGCCGCGTGAAATTGCCGCTCGAGGACTTCACGTTTCCGACGAACGAATCGCTTCGCCAATTATTCTTGCCTCCGATTTATTCCCCGCCGATCGTCAAACGCCGATCCGGCGCGGAGACGAGATCGAGACAGCTTCCTTTGATTTATTTTTCATTTTCCAAGTCGAGTGCTTTTATCCGGATTGTATCCGGTACTCTACGCGGCAGGCAGAGAGATCGGGGAATTGCTGGTGACAACGAGGGAAAACGCACGAGCTGCGGACAAAGAGCCGTGAGAATTTTCTATTTAAAAAGTGACGCGATCGCGCTGTTTCCGGAAGTCTGTCGAATTCGTGGAATTTTTGACCGCGCTCGTCGCGCGTCAAACGGACGTTTTCCGAAAAATCGACCCGCGCTTTTGTTCCACCCTTTCGAACCGAAATTAATAAAACGGGACAGAGGGTGAATCTCGCGAGCGAACGAAATTTTCGGGGAGACGATAGAGAGAGAGAGAGAGAGAGAGGGAGGGAGGGAGGGAGGGAGAGGGTGAAAGATAGACACCGAATCGAACGTCGGACCCACGATCGCCAGTCTGAGGGATAAATTTCTGGCTAAAGAGGGAGACGGTGAAGAAGGCTTCGAGGAATCTCGATTCGCGAGAGCATTGTGCTCGTTCTCGCCGACTCGACGCTGTCCGTGGATACGGGACAGAAGAATGGAGCCGCGAGATGAAAAAAGGGAGCCCGGTAAGGGGCTTTTGAAAAATTATTTTCCGCGTCGACGGTTTCTCGCGGATTTCCACCGACCCGCCCCGTTCCTTTTCCCCAGCCAGCCCATAATTGGATGGGCTGACTTCTCCCCGCCATAACCGACCAGACCACGTTCGGCCCCATTCTCGCTGACAGTTAACCGATAATCACGCCAGGTACCTTGGAATTCATTAAGATCGTTATCGGATGCACCTTACGACTTTAATTACCGCCACCGGTTTCCACTTTGTTCTCGAGCACGGCCTAGGTAATTAGCCGCTTAGAAGACGATCGTTCACCGGAAACTGTCCATCCCTATGATCGCCTTTTCACCAACTGCTCCACATATTTCACGCCTCTGAGCTTCGTCTTCCTCCTTTTTCCCCACGCCTCCAACGTCACCGTGACTCTCGAGATCGAAGGTATCCCCATGACTCCCTACGGCGAAGTATCCCGTGCAGTCCGTGCACGACTCGATCGTTTAAACGGACCTCTAAATCTCTAAATCTCGTTCGGGTCTAGGACGCACGCTTGTCTGCTCCCGAACGGTTGGATGGAAAATTTTTAACAGAGATCGTGGAACAGAACGGAATGGAATTTTAGTCTAACCGTGAATTCGGTCGAGCTGGTTACGGAACTATCGCGGGTCCAAACCTAGAAACTGCCATGTCAATTTCGTCGCGAGAGTACAGCTCGGCCAGTTTACTCCCGCTGGCAGATCTCGATCTTAAGCGGCGAACAGCTCGATCGGATGTCGCGTTCCGCTCCCATTGTCCCGTTGCGTTTATACGGCTCGACGATCGTTGTCTAGGAAAGCCGTAATCGGCTCGATGAATCGAAACTGCTTCGAAACTGCCAGCCGACAACTGCTAGTCGCGACTCTTGCTGTGTACTTCTGTTTAGAAATCGGCTATTGGAAGTCGTTCTCTTTCGCGACAGGATTTATGCATTTGATAGCTCGTCGTCGCAAAAGCGTTATTGTCGAATTAGGGAATGAAAGATTGTAAGTATAATCGTAATTAATATTGCAAGCGTAATTTTAGCAGCACGTCGATTGTTGATTATATCTGTGCAGTTTGGCGTGACAAACATATAACGAGGTAGATGCTATATATACTGTAAGTACATTGCTTTGTGACGTAATGGGTTCATTTTCTCGGTAGAGAGATAGGTCAGTGGATAATTTCTTTCGTCGAATTTCGAAGAATTTCTCGTCTGTTCGCGAAGAAACGTTTCGAGTCTGGTCCCCGTCAGGGACAGGAACCGCTCGTGGAAAGTCTTCCGTCGGAGAAGAAAACGAGCGTGTGCCTGAAAGGAGACGCGTATCTCTAATTTCGTCCCTAGTTTAGAAGGTTCCTCATGCTCGATCACAGGTCGTTCCTTCCTATCCCGTCGCTAGGATCCTTCGTTTCCGGAGATTCGAAGATCGGTTACCCCGCCAGCTTACGATAATCGTCTTTAAAAGAAGTTAGAGGCGAGCTGCTCCGAGTTATCGAGCTGTTCGTTATTATCTATCGGGAAGGAAACTTCGCTGGAGCAGGAGTCGGTGGATTTCTGATTTTTTTATTTTTCCACCCGGTACTCCGCCGCGAGGGACGTTCCACGGGGAATTATTCTCCCGCTTTATGCGTCACGAATGTTACGGTGACCATCCTCGTGAATGGAGAGAACCGTTTGGTAAATTTATCGCCGACGGTAGAATCTTTCCCCGAGAATTATGCTCGTTTATTCGATTTGCTCTCTTTGGCGAGGATTTAACGGAAAAGATCAAAACGATATTCCAATTCGAAAACCTTCCGTGAATTTAAAAAAAAAAAAAAAAAAGAAAAAGGAAAAAAGATAAAAGATAGAAGAATTGAAAGAGATTAACGAAATTGACAGGTCCCCGTTGCAAATTAAATTTGCAATGCTTGCAATTCCACCGGTCGCGAAATTGGTGGAATTCGCTGTTCGGGAATATTAAGGTCCCCAGCCGAGAACGGGTTACCGTTTTGCGAAGAGTTGGTCACCCAGAGGCCCGGCTTCCTGGTCATGTCCGGTATCCGGAAGGTGTATTCGAGGTTGCCAGCCTCCTCGGTCCACAGCAGACTCAACGAGGAGAAGAAATTGTACGCGTTCTCGACGGCCGTCAGCTTCACGATCGGACAGGAATCGACCACGTACGATCCGCCGGGGTTCAACGGGTCTACTCTGTGCTCCAGCACCTCCACCACGTACCACTTGCCCATTATCTGAAATCAATACGGGCGCAAATGGATTTATTACGTTCGCGTGCAAACGCAAACGCGCTCTGACGCGTTCCGATCGGCAAAGCCGAGCCGGAGCAAAGCCAGCCGCGAGATTTACGAAACGCTTTTGGAATGTACCTCGCTGTTGTTGCTCGCCAACACCCCCTTTGTTGCCTCGCGATTTCCATCCACGGTATTCCCCAAGATTAGAGATACTCCCGTTTGCCGACTATCGGTGCGAAAAGGTAGATCGATCCATCAGGATTGCGATCAGCGTTCCTTCTGAATTTCCATCGAGTCGCGGTCAGTAATGGATCTTACTCGCCCTTTACATATTTACGATACCGTAAACGCTTAGCATTTGACTCGTGTCTCGATAAAGATTAGCCGATTACAGCGGATTATAATCCACGTTTCACATTCGTAGTGTACGAACGTTGACTCTAGCTGCTCGTTGAAATTGCCGAATATCCCAGTAGCTTGGGATGAAACGAAACACGAGAAATACGGGGCGATAATTTTGCGGGCGATTTCGAGACCGAAAGTTCGAATTTTCCGCCGATTTTCGATCAAACGTCGAATCTTCCGGCGATACCTCGTTATCGAGATCCTTTGCAGGTCCAATGGCGAAACATCGATCGCGCGGCTCGCAGTTCGCGAGGTGGAAAATCCGGGCCGAGGAAATCTGACGCGTTTTTAAATCGAATTTCAATTCGAAATCGGAAGCTATTCGCATAATTACCACGCAGCGTTCTACGCGATCCGGTTTCTGGGATTACGCGTCAGATTTCATCGACGGGATCGATAATTCATATATCGAGGTGACGCGATTTAATGGACGATATTAAAAATTAATTTCGCGAAAACGCGAAAGACGCGACCGTGCAAAAACAGGATCGATCCATCGGTTTAAATTAAAATTGCCGGTTTATCGTGGCTTTCGCCTCTAACCCGGCGAGAGCATCGTGGCTGATTTAAAAACGCGTTGAATCGTAAAATCGAGAGACTGTAACATTTTTAATCCGCGTTTGACGTTAGTCATCTTCGTCTCGAATGCTCAGTCGTTGGGCCCATTAGCCCGATAAGCTGTTATAGTTTGATGAACCGCTGCCGACTGCTCGTTCCGAATAAATGTACAAACCATTCGCGAGGAAACTTTTCGATTCGAAAAGCAACTCGACTCAAAGTTAATCCGCTTGAACTCCACCGATTTTTCCGCAATAGACTAAACTTCGATACGGCGACATGCTTCGTCGTTCCACCTCGATATATAAATAAGGGAAAAGAAACGAAGACAAAGGGGAGGATGAAACGAATAGAAAGGATAAAAAGAGGAGTATTAATTTAGCAGCGTCGTTCGAACCGCGGAAAACCTTTCAGTCGGCGAGATAATCCCTAGACTTTGGCCTAGGAGCACATAATTCCGACTGGTGCTTAAACGAAATTAGGGGCGATTTATTGACCGACCGGTCGGCCGTGATTAAACGAGGAGGAATAATATCGATCGCACCGATACCACCCTAGGATCCAGCTTCTCGAAACAAAATTCTTCCAACGTGCACTCGAAATTGACCCGAAATTAAATAGAAAGAATTCGATCTCGATGTCGCGTCGACGGGACCATTGGGAATCTCTGAGCGGGCTCGATCTTCTGATAATTGAAAGTAAACGGGCGCCATTTCCATTGATACCGCGATTGTCACGTTCGAGCAGAAGTCCAAGTCGGATTAATTAATTAATTAATTAATTACCGCGAATCGATGGCGACCAGTTCCCAGGAAATAGCGAGGGATTAGGGGGTGCTTAAGAAGCAGCTCTTTTTAAGCATAAAGACTCTCACCTTGGAAGGTAAAGCAGGAACTGTCAGAGGGATTAGGAGGGTATACACGGGAAAGAAGAAACTGTCTGCGAATCGCGCAAACCACGTAAAGACAATTTCGCAAAAGACTCTGAAAGGATCCGTGGGTCGCGGCGCGACCATTTCGTCTTCGATCGTGGCTCGCCATTTGCATGGGCAACGGATCCGAATGGAGGATCGTTGCTGGCTTAGCGTACGGCGACATGCATAATCAGCGAACGAAAAGGACAGGGCTGGTCTGGTGGGAGTAATTAAAAGTCTCGCGAATGTGACCCGGCCCGTGGAATCTCATTTATCGCGATCTCAAACGACGGATGATCACGCGTCTCGAGACTCGCGTCACTGCCTTTTAACGAGTGGAAAAGAAGGTACGTGGTATTCGGTATCGAGAGACTGTCATCGTGCTCGATTTTTGGGCAATCGAGCAAGCGTAGACACCTCGAAGTTTCGCTACCTGTTGTCAAGTACTAAGTTTCTCGACGGTTTTTGCTCCGTGACTACTCTGTCCTATTTTCTTCGTGTCCTCCGGAAGATTAAATTCGTAGAGAATTATTTATGGCTCGAAAATGAGAGCATGGGAACACTTGGGCGTCACACTTCCTCCTAGATGAGGGATAATATACAGGTCTCGGGTTTAGGTCGAACGTTCAGGGTAAAATCTGGAGTGTATGTGGAAGGACAAGTGAACATTGTATGGACGACACTGTTAGGTTTAAATAAGGGTGCAAGGGCAGTTTTTAGTCTTGGAGAGAGCTCTGATAGACAGTTTTGAGCGGAGTTTAGGAAAAGAGAGTCGGTCAGAGAGAATCTTAAGCGGATTTTTATGTGCATAGTCGAAGGAATTACGCGAGAGTGTCGATCAGCTGCGTAATCATAGATCAGTTATTAGTCTAATCTTTTAATTTCTGCTTCACTTCTAGTTGCATTTAGCTCACGATAATATCGGAAAGTTCCTCCCGATAATGTCATCTGCAATTTTATTGGATTTACTATACTTTCCAGACTTAACACCATTCGATTACCATCTGTTTCTTTCCCTCTAAAATTTTCTCAAGGAAAAAGTTTGGAAAATGAAGCAGGTGTCACGCAAACACTGCTCGAATTCTTCGCCTCTAATAGTGAGACCCACTAAAAAAATGGAATTCACAAATTTCCATCAAAATTATATTATTCGGTAAATATAAATAAATGTGTTGAAAATGAATGATTTTCTTTTACTTCAAAAACGCACAGATTAGAATGAAACGACATCTTTCATTCCTTTTATATTTGCCAATCGACAGTATCCCTGCACAAATATTTGCACAGTGCTCTTATCTATTTTCTGCCACATTTTTTATTAAAAAATTTAGCGTCAGATATCAAGAATTGGTCGAGCAAGCCTGTTACGGACAGTGTCAGTCGAACTTCACGCTATTCGTCACAATTAGTTCAGAAGTAACACGTGTATACAAAAACCAGTTACATAGTATCCATTGGATACGCGAATTGCATCGATGGCGATATTATATTGCATAAAATCGAAGCTTTCTCACGGAAGGTAGGACCGGTTGGTTATTTGGGGAAATCACTGCGGCAAACGACCGTCGGCAATAAGATTTCGAGTGGTAATTAGTCGGCAGTTAACCGTACCTGCGGCAAACAGCGTCGCGTTGTCGAAAACTCCGCTTTGACCAACGCCGTCCAATAGCGTGCGCTCGATTTGCCTCGTTTCTACCTGGCAAACGCAATTTCGGCCGAAAGTAACGTAATTCAATTGGCCGGGGCAGTAGAGCAACTTAGCGAACGGGACGCACGCGTCCCGGCGTCGCGACGCGTTGCGCCGCTGCGTCGCGCTAAAAACGCACCAGGCAATAACGGGTCGCGGACTGTACGCGAAATAATTAAAATAACAAATGCCGCGGCCGGCAGATTCGAGCGTGAAAACGCTCCGCGTCGAGCGGCCACGCGCGGAACACACGCGTGCGATTTATTAAAGCGGCGCCGCGGCCGGCCATTCGTTCCGGCCTGGAATTGCAACGGAATTTCGGAAAGCGGACTTTAAACCGAAGTTCATTGCCGCTGGTAATTGCGTCGCGCGGGTTTTATGAAAGCGGACGCGGCAAGCGCGTTCGGGCCCTTCGCTCGCTCGCGCGGCTGTTCCGCGACAAGCCGCGCCGCGTATTCATTTTTCAAGGGTAATTGCGCTATCCCCCGGCCAGTTTGTCACTGGATATTAGAATATAATTGCCAGCCATACGCGCCCGAGCCGCGACGCGGTGCATTTTCCCCAATTTGCGGGCGAGATGCGAAGACGTTTTTCGATTTGCGCGAAAACCCCGGAAAATGGGTTTCGAGGTCGACAATCGTGAATCTAAAATCGAAATTCTGAAAAGGAAACGGGATAATTGTCCACATAGTCCAATGTGCGGTTAAAATATTAAATTTTAGCTTCGGAATTTATTTATTTATAATAATATAACAAATACATAAGGAAGCACAGAAATACAGAGTGAACGTGAGATTAATGTTTCAAATGAAACTTGGTTAATTGAAATTAAATAATTAACGAAATGAAATGAATTATTAGCTAGAAAACGTATTCTGGTAGATGTTTTAATGTTGGCAAACTTTGAGCTATATAGGACGATTAAGAATTAACCATTTGAATCTCAGAACATTGCTATAATTGGTAATGAAATTAATGTCAAAATTTAAAAATTTTAGAACTTTTAGTCTTGCAGTAGTACAATTTTAAACAGGCAACAAATAGATCGCGAATCTCGACTAAAATTATCGATGAAAATAGTAGCCAATCGTTTACGAATAAGACACGCTACCTAGATTTTGAAAATGGGAAAAATTCACGCGCCAGTTCGCGCATGCGCCCAGGCGAGCGAAGAATCGTTCCTATTGTTCGTTCGCGGTTGCAAATTGGAAACGTTCGTTGGAGATGTGTTTCAATCGCAACGGCGCTTGTTTATAATGGAACGATAATGAAGGCAGGCGGACTGAGCGCAGGGGCGAAATATTTTCGACAACCCCGTAGGCAAATTCGCTCTGTTCATTACTTTAATTGGTTCACGGTCCACTCTGAAATTACGCGCGCCTCTAATATACGCGATGGCGATTGTCGCGGTGTACGCGCGAGCTGATTAAACGTTGC